AAAAGAAACCCAATCCTAAACAGGAAACAAGGAATAAACTTCTACTTCTGTTCAAAAGACAAGGAAGGAGTCTGAACCGGACAATAGGCAAACCCTATTAAGGAAAAAATATTGGTTATATTTCCTATAAAGGAAAAAATATTGGTTTGAATTGCTTTTTCGGATCCTTCTAAAAAATTAATTATATTTCACATCCGGTGGCCCCCTTGCGTCTTGGTGGCTTTGTCACCTTGCTTTGGATGGTGTCTCTTACTCTGTAACTCTCTACCTCGAGGGACTCTTGGGTATGTACAGGGTGAAAATCATTGTAAAAACAGTATGGTGTATTCAGGTGCTTTGAGGTAGAAACGGGATGACTGCTATAAATATGGAAGGCAATAAGTGATAGATATGGTTTATTCCCCTTAGTACTGATAAAACGTTACTTTTTCATACCAGCGTAATTAGAAAAAGTTATAACTCAAATCTCCCAGCCCACACTCGTACCACACCGAAATATATTTTGGTCAAGACTAATCGTCGTTAGATGGGGGAGTTGCCTTTGACCTGTCTAATTTAAGGGTCATTCCTGCAAAATCTTACATGACCACATAAACAAATAACACCCATAAATTTCCACGATCTTAATATCTAGAAGTATGGCTGAAATCGATCAAAATATTTGGATAATATTGGGAATTATTTGATAAATACATGCTTCTCTTTGTGTTGTAGCATACCTACGGACGATAATGGCTATATCCCCATTCGCATAAATACAGTAGTAAATACTGTATGTTGGTCTGCAGTTAGTGATTCGTCTTCAGCTGTACTGGTCAAACTTTCTGACTCCAGACGAGGCTATGTCAAAGGGCAGAGTCTCGTCTCGGGAAACAGCTACCCGATCCCGTTTTATACGCTGTCTACGGGGAATTTTTGGTCGAGCGTACGGGGAATTTTTGGTCGAGCCTACGGGCTCGCATATACCATATTATATTCAGCCTTGTGCCGCATCAGACCGCGTGAGGCGGTTGGTAGATATCCTGCAGTTGCAGACTCATTATGGAATTCACTTGACTCACTCCTAGCAGTTGACAACTTCTACGCGCCGCTGGCGAATCTTATAAGCGTTGTCCGTGTCCTAAGTATTATCGTTCATTACCAACCTCCGTGTGATTATTCTATTCAGTAACCTTCCCTAGGTTACAACACTTTGTACATTAGTAACTAAATAGTTAAAATTAACTATACTAGACCAACATCTTCAGTCAAACATGGATAGGTAGATATATTTCTCTCTTTCTTTCCTTCATGACTCTTCAGACCTACAAATTTTGCTACAGGAAAACATTTTTGGAACATCTTGTGGGAACTTAAATCACTTACCACAGTTTGAATGATTAGTTTCGCTTATCAGTGCTTTGGCTTTTTCTTACATTCCTTATTATATCTGACCCTCACGTCCCCACTATTTATTTACCCCCACCACCACATCATTTCTGATTCATCACTTGATATTATTCTTATTTGGAAACTCTGTGCGGCCGCTTCTTTTTGTTTTCTCCTTTTCTTCTTCTTCTTTTTCTTCTTCTTCTTACGTGTTTGTTTTATCTTCTTTAGTTCCTGAAATATTTTGTCTTCTTCTTCTTCTTCTTCTTCTTCTTCTTCTTCTTCTTCTTCTTCTTCTTCTTCTTCCGTGTTTGTTTTATCTTCTTTAGTTCCCAGAAATATTTTGTCTTCTTCTTATTATTTTTCCTCTTTTTCTTAGGTGTTTGTTTTATCATCTTTATTTTCCGAAATATTTTTTCTTCCTTTTCTTCTTCTTCTTCTTCTTCTTCTTCTTCTTCTTCTTCTTCTTCTTCTTCTTCTTCTTTTTTCTTCGTCTTCTTCTTCTTCTTCTTCTCTTTTCTTCTTCTTTTTCTTCTTTTTAGTCTTCTTCTTCTTCTTCTTCTTCTTCTTCTTACGTGTTTGTTTTATCATCTTTATTTTTCGAAATATTTCTTTTTCTTCCTCTTCTTCTTCTTCTTCTCTCTTTTCTTCTTCTTTTTAGTCTTCTTTTTTTCTTCTTCTTCTTCTTCTTCTTACGTGTTTGTTTTATCATCTTTATTTTCCGAAATATTTCTTCTTCTTCTCTTTCTTCTTCTTCGTCTGACGTGTTTGTTTTATCTTCTTTATTTTCCGAAATATTTCATCTTCTTCGTCTTTTTCTTCTCCGTACGTGGTTGTTTTATCTTCTTTATTTTCCTAAATCTTTCTTCTTCTTCTTCTTACAGACAACTTTTCGATCAGAAACTCGCCTTCCTCCTGACCAATCACTTTGGCGAACTTTCTTTTGATCAAGGGCCAAGCATCCAACTACATTTGAAAATTTACCCTATTCAAAAGAGTCCTTTACTCGTGAACTCCGGCCTTGTTGGCGCCAGAACCGTGACATCACAGATTTCGCAATTACATCACAGGTGCATAATCACTCACACGCACAATGAGAAACGGCTGTGTCATGACTCATCTGGTAAAGGACTCCGTTTCTTTTAACAGTTAACAAATATGCGAATGAAGCTTTCTATTTGAGTGCACCTGTCTAAAACAGCAGAGAATTGAAAAGCCAGTAGAAAATTCGATATCCATTTACCCAATGAGGATTGAGATTTAATAGTCAGTCTGAAAATATTTGGTCTCGAAACCAGTTTAAATTCAAAAGATTGCGTACAAATACACGAGTTTTCAAATTAAGTGATAGGTATGGACTATGTCAAAATTGAAATCAACACTGATTTAGTGAGGCATTTATTTTCCAACGGGCAGTCTTTAGGGTTTCTACAATCACATAATTTTTCGTTATTTTTATCTAATTTTAGTTTATGAGTTTTAAACCAAAAATATTACAATATGAGCTCTACTTCTGTATAGATCACTGTCTTCTTAAAAATAAAAACAAAAATACTAAGGAACTCCCGATTATGCACCCAACGTGTTCTTTTCTATTTTCTGCATACCTGCGCACTTATATATATATATATATATATATGAAGAAATATAGCACTATTCAGTTTCTTCTTCGTCACCCAGGCCATTGTTTAGTTGGTATGACGCTTGCGTTGTATCGAAACATCCCAGGTTCGATTCTCGGATGCTCACTGCTGATGAATCCCAAAATTGGCTGAAATGGCTGTCCAGTGCTTTCTGCATTCTGTTGAGGATTCTTCTATGATTCGATGAAGTAATATACTGATTTGCCTAAATTCTCAACATTCTCTTACTTATATAAATTCAAATTTACATTATATTACCATTAAATATTAAACAGCAGTAATAATTTATACATATGAAACCACGAGACACAGAAATATTAACAAGACTGTGATCAGTTTTCAGTACCTGACGATTCCATAGTATATGAATCTCCAAGTCGTACTGTCGGCATGGGGTATTATATATATATATATATATATATATATATATATATATATATATATGTATGTATGGGAAAACGATTTAATTTTTTTGTATTTCAAGAATAATTTAAGGAAAAAAAATTATTTCGATTAAGTTCAAAAGCATACATGTCCTGTGGCAAATATATCAACATCCTTTTAAATCAAAATAACGTTAAATATTTCAGTATCTGTCTATTATTCTGAGATGCCGTATTATATACACTATTTACATTATTTGGACTATTGTCCTCATCTCTGTCGCCATATTTATTCCTACATTTCGGCCGTTGTACGCTCTGGCCTACTTCCTCAAAGACACATGGCACAGTGGATAAAGGCGTTAGTAAGATCCAGTGACAGGACCCAAAGAGTTCAATACCCGGTTAACGCAGTGGAGTACTTTCAGTGGGTAATTAACAGGAGATAACTGATAACTGACATCCATTATACATAGCACTTGGAACTAGAACTGTCTACACCAGTGAGCGAAATAAAGGGTTCAGTTCGACATTCCAACCACCTGAAGAAAGCCGGAGCGTACAGCGGCCGAAAATGTATGTTAAATATTTTTCTGAAATGTTAATAGAGAAGTTTTTAATTTAAGTTTTTTTCCTCCAATTATTCCTTGCCAAAAAAATAGGTTTTTAGTTTAAGACAATACATATGGGAAAATAAGAATATTTTCTGCTGATTCAAATTAGCTTCTGCCAAGTGTGACACTGAGGACAATGGGTTAACAGTCACGACAGGAAGATTTGCCTACTTACTCATTCACGTATCTTCTCTTTTTGTCCCCAATGACGAGATAGATAAGATAGAATATTACAGGGAGAATGAGTTCATGCCTTTCCCAATGATATTCATGATATTAATGGATTCTTGACCATAATCAGCCTCAGTTTCAATCAAAGTCAGTATCTTTTCATATTCTACTCTTATTTGTTATGCTATTTTTTACGGACTAATTGCAAGCAGCAAAATGACTATTGCTTCTTTTTCTTTTATTTTTCCAATGGATACTATGCAGGATTGTATAATGTAAGTCATTGAGTGATGGATTATAAATTTAATGTTTGATCTTTTTTATTATATTCTTACTCTTTCCTGGATATTGAGTTCTACCTGGATTCTATCCTCTTGAAATTTATATATATATATATATATATATATATATATATATATATATATATATGTGTGTGTGTGTGTGTGTGTGTGTGTATATATATATATATATACATATATATATATATATATATATATATATATAAGCATTGTGGATATGAGAGTAGGGGACGAATATGAGAGGTACATGAAAGTTTTAGAGAGGGGTAACAGACAAGAGAAGGACAGGAAGGCCTAAAAGTGAAGGAGGAGATTAAAAATTAACAGTGAGAAGTTTTAAAGAGAGGGGATAAAAGACAGTTTAAATGAATGAGATACAGATTAATATGAATTATTTTCCGATGCATAATTCATTACTGAATCGCTGACCTAAATTAAATTAAAAATCGACACCGGAAATGGGTTTATATATTGGTGGTGACACTAAGCACAATAAAAGATGATATAATCTAAACTTAAAACTCAGTAGATGAGAGATAGATAGATAGATAGAGAGAGAGAGAGAGAGAGAGAGAGAGAGAGAGAGAAGAAAAGAAAAAAGGAAGGAAGATAGGGGGGGCAACTAAAACCGAGAGCATTTATAAAAGGGCCGCTGTGCATTTAAGAAAATTTGACAAAAGTAAATCAACTACAGGTTACAAATTTAATATAATTCCTCTCTAGAGCTTTCATTTACGTCTCACATTTGCCCCCCACTCTCATACATAGTCTCTCACTAAATGTTTTTATTCCCGGAGTTATTTTTCCTGATTTCTTTTTGAATTTGTAGGTCTGATGAATTGGATTTTATTTACGATTCCAATGTAATAAATTATAACCATGGAATATTATGTTTAAGCGTTTTTACTATATATATATATATATATATATATATATATATATATATATATATATGGTATCCCTAAAGTATGAACACATATCCAAAAATACATTAGTTTTATTGAATTGGAATATTAACAAATAACGTTTTTAATATGATTTCCATCATTTGTCATGCAAAGTTTGATGCGTTTTGCAAGATTCACGTGAACTTGATGCAATCGCTCCACATTGCCGCCATTTTTAACATATTCACTCTTTCTGCATTCAATCAAGTGTGTTGCATCTGTGATTTTCTTTGAGTACACCTTCTCCTTTAGCAGACCCTCAAAAAGAAGTTAATACTTTCTTTTTTGCAAAAAAAAAAATGTTTAATCTGTGGAGGTAAAAAACACAGTTAATAAGATTTCCCATGTGTCCCCACATTATGAACAGACTGTATATATATTTTCACTTAGGAGATAATTACTGCTTTCTAATTAAGAGCATTTAGTATTTGTAGCCGTTATTATTTACGGGATGAACATAAATGCATTGACATTCTTTTATACTTATAATCATTTTAAATATAATTCGGGAAACTTACAAAATATTCAAAAACAGAAACTGAATATCCGAAGCAACACGTAATACTAACTACCAATTCAATAATGACTTCAACTGAAGAAAGTTATCTAATATCAAATTTGCTCTCAGATACTTCAAAGACAATAGGAGATTTAATTAACAGCAGCTAAAATAATGTCAACATGATATCTAAAGCAGGAATTTACAAAACAGTCAGCAAAAATTTTAAAAATAACATGACTAGGTGATATATCTAAGAATTGAAATAAAATCATATGAACACAAAAAGGATATCTTACAAAGTCATACACGCTATGCATTACTATTCATTGAAACATGGACTTATTTAACGGCATATAAACATGTCTATGGGTCATTTAATGTCGAAATTTAATTTTCTTTGTAGCTTTGAATTAATAAAAAAATGTTATATGTTATTCTGCTTTCACAATCGAATACATGGTACATGATACTCAACTTTTAGGCATATACACACTTGTGCAAATTAATTGAAGCAAAACGAATAATTCTGTTATTATTTACTTTTTCGTATTTTCCCAAGGAAACATGACCTCAGTGGACATGTTAGTACTTCGTAGGTCCATTCCACGAAGTAGTTCCTTGCAGATTGACCACAGATTCGATTTAAATCAAGAGAATTTCCTGGCCAATTTATAATACTTTGATTTGCTCATTGGTAAGGCTTTCCAGTGTGTCCGTACAGTGTTACAATATTCGAACGCTTCCTTAGAGTAACGTCCATCGCAATCAATTGCCGTAAAACAACTAATCAACAGTCGAGACAATAGTGTTAGGGCGTGATAGAAATCCGATGCAATCACGGATGACGCAACCAAATTTCGTCATACACCCCGAAAATAAATTCATATTTCTGCACAACACTGCAAATGATCAAATCTGATGAAAAAAAAATAGAAAATCGATTACACCCTCTCATTCCAGTGAGTCTAAAACTGACTTTATGGTGAAAGGAAGGAAAATAAAGCGGTTATTTCAATAAATTTTCACAAAGGTGTACATGTTTGTATGAACACAATAATTAGAGGCAGTGATATGTATGTCTTATGTTGTAGTTTTTTGTTGAAGTTATATTTTGATATATAGTTTCATTTAAGAAATTGTAGGATATGATATGGATTAATGTCATCAAAATTCTTTTATGTTGATTTATGTATTGTTGGTAATTTTACTCTAAATATGTCTTACTGATATTTTTACTATAAAAATATAATTTTATACTTTCAAAGGGATTTCTTGTTGTTTGGGGTTTAATATTTGCTCATAGCTGGGCCCCTAAGAGATGCTGTTAACCCGAGTCATTGTGGACCCGGGAACAATAGCAATAAAGAGATGGTTCCACACTTCACAAAGCCTCCAATCTCCTAATCAGAGGATCTGCTGCCGGATGTAGTTTGTCGTCATACCCAGGACAAGAGAGAGAGAGTGAGAGAGTGAGAGAGAGAGTGAGAGAGAGAGAGAGTGAGAGAGAGAGGGTGGGAGTAGGGAGGGAATATCCCACTATACGCTCACTCCCGGGTCAGGATGGACCTGAGAACAGCAGCAATGAAGTGGTGGTTCCGCACTTCTCAAAACCCCCTGATCAGAGGCTTTGCTGTCGGATGTAGTTTATCGTCATACCCAGGACAAGAGAGAGAGAGTGAGAGAGAGAGAGGGGGGGGGAATATCCCACTATACGCTCACTCCCCGGTCAGGATGGACCTGAGAACAGCAGCAATAAAGAGGTGGTTCCGCACTTCTCAAAACCTCCTGATCTGAGACTTTGCTGCCGGATGTAGTTTATCGTCATACCCAGGACAAGAGAGAGAGAGAGAGAGAAGGTGGTAACGATCTGGCCAAAGGGCAATTTTTAAGATACAAGCGTTTGACTGGAAGAAACTTCCCCCTGTCAACGAACCTGGTGTCTGGTCTGAGCTGCAACGCAACGCTTATACCACAGCAGAGAGTAAATGATTGCTTCTCTTCCTGTCATGATTCATTTTTACAAGAACAGATTAAACTAAATATGGAGTATTGTTATCAAAATTCGACAATTAGTTATGTGCCATGCGTGATACACGCTTAGACGATCATGTATTTTTCAATACATGACTGACGAGGCAGATTTTTCCCCGCATTAGGTTGCCATTTCTTTCTACGGTAGATCAATTGCCATCCAAGGCTATAGGACCCTGTCTGTCCTGCTATTTACCCAAAAAGAAAAGAGAAGGATTCCCAAGTGAATATAAACACTGGTGAGCAGCTCTTAAATCCTCACTTACCGGCCTTGATAGTGTTTAAAATAGTTTATGTGATTTTGTAAGGGATGACATTTACCCACTCACCAGCCACTTTCTCACACGCGCACCGTTGCAAGACGAACGTTACTCTATTACCTATTGTTCAGATAAGCGCTCCATTCTTTAGGTTCACCAGTTCAAACCTTTACGCCTAATACTCGCTCTGCTACTTGGACAGACTCGAATCACCTACATTTCCCCCGTATTCCATTCAGACTATTTTTTTTTATCCCGAGAACTATCGAGTGTATGCTCCAATGGACATTAGAGTTTTCGCCTTTTCATGTAGAGGGTCAAATACTTGGATCTGTCACACCCAAGTAAAGGGTCATTATTCCACTCCCGGCTCATGAGCAACATCGTATATCGTTACATAAAGTTATATTCAAATGGACAGTAAACAGGTCTCTTGTGGCTGGTCATATCTGATTAGAGGCGGTGTCGTATCTTCTTTAATACGAGGCCCTAATAACAGACATGGACACTGCTGGGAAATTTCGTTCATTCTTTCGTGCCAAAAGGTTTTTCTTATCAGAGTCCATCTTTCACATCTACAAATCTACTATTCCTACGCGCATTGAATACTGTTTCTGTATCCGGTTTCATTATCCTGCCGTTCATCTCGAAGTCCTTGACAAAATCAAAGGAAGGATCCGCAATGTAATCCTGACTTGGCATCTCGACTTCAGTCACTTTTCTCAAAGACGTGATGTGGCTTCCCTCTGTCTTTTCTGCAAATATTTCATGGCAACTGATCTGATGAGCTTTTACCCTGGTACTCCGATACATGACTTTAAGAGTGTTACCAGAGTGGCATCTATGTCCCACCCTTCTTCAGTTGAACGAGTTAAATGTAACCGCCAGTTCTACTCCAACAGTTTATTTTCTCGTACTACCCGACAGTAGAACTCCCTTCATCTTTCTCGCCATTTTCTGTTGTCTAGAACCCCGTTCATATTTTATCCTTTCCTCAATCCCATATATATATATATATATATATAAATGAAGGAAACGAAGTGTGTTAAATCGGGCTCCTTTCCTCGTAGCACTCAGCTGACTGTACTATGCTAGCTGGCAAAACGGTTCCTCTTTTATAGAACTTCAACTCCGTCCTCTTGTCAACACTTCCCAGATCACACTCTTCACCGAACAAATTATTTAGGTCGCATATAATCGGAAATAGATAAGTGTATCGTCCCTAAGTTCTTGGAAGTGTCACGCCCAATTAAAGGGTCATCATTCCACTCCAGGCTCGTGAGCAACATCGTATATCGTTACAAGAGAAAGCTATCTTCAAACGGACAGTAAATAGGTCTCGCGTGGCTAGTCATATATGATTAGAGTATCTTCTGTAATACGAGGCCCTAATAATAGACATGGACACTGCTGGAGAGAGAGAAAATTGAAGAAGGCGGCATATATTTTTCACGCGAACAAATATACGAGTCAGGTCAGTGTAAATTTCAGCTCAATGGTTTTCTTTGCTCAACGAGGAAGGATTGGCGAATGGTTCTTCAACATTGCTTGAACTTTATTGTATAAAAGAAAATGATACTTAATTTATTAAGGTAAAAAAACTTTTGAAAGTGTATTAATTTCGGAATCCACTATTTTTCCTTACTTAGGAAAATGAAATGAGAATGAAGATGATTCGATAATTACACGGCATGGTGAGTATATGCTTCAACCATTTGCCGATAAAAGCCGCCATATACGCAGGAGCGAACCATCATTATTCACTTCTTAGTTTATTGTTAAAAAGAAGTCCTGTTCGAAAAATTCTTCCTAAGAACTGTTGCTTTTCGGAGTTTCCCGAGAGGTGGCTTCCTCGAAGACTACACTTGTTAACCTTTTTGAGTCAAGGGTCAACCATTTACCTATCATTCATATCCTCATAATTGGTAATTATTTCCCGCACTTTCGGCTCCTATCTCCATACAAGAACCACTATTAACGTTCCGCCTTTATGGCAGTGAAAGCAGTAGAAATAAAGAGAATAGTACTGAACTGTTATGTAATATCATTCCTCTTATATGGCTGTGAATACTGGACAATCTCCTCACAGATGAAGAAGAGACTTGTAGCAACAGAGACAAAGAAAAGAGTACTGAACTGTTATATAATAAAAGTCCTTATATATGGCAGTGGATGCTGGACAATCTCCTCACAGATGAAGAAGAGACTTGAAGCAACAGAGACAAAGAAACGAGTACTGAACTGTTATATAATAAAAGTTCTTCTGTATGGCAGTGAATGTTGGACAATCTCCTCACAGATGAATACGAGACGAAGCAACAGAAACAAAGAAAAGTGTGCTGAACTGTTATGTAATATCAGTCCTCCTCTATGGCATTGAATGCTGGACAATCTCTTCACAGATGAAGAAGAGACTTGAAACAAAAGAAACAAAGAAAATAGTACTGAACTGTTATGTAAAATCAGTCCTCCTATATGGCAGTGAGACAGATGGAGAAGAGACTTGAAGCTAAGGAAAAAAAGAGACGTTGTTCTACAGAAGGATGCTGAGAATAGAATGGATGAAGTTTAGCCATTAGAAAAATAAAAAAAGTAAATCGCACAATGTTATTATTAACGTTCTTTACAGGACGATTTAAATGTACGACAGTTTTCAAATGACAGGAAGCAATCAAGTTAAATCGGATTCCTCAAGAGAAATTCAACCTCCAAGAGTTCATGTGTAGTAAACAGCCGTTGTTGAATTAGGTCAAGGGCACCTTGTCTTGGAATTACGGCGCTGACGCATTCCAAAATAAGTGGCAATGAAGGTGATGCAATTGCGAAAGTCAATGCCGTCGAGGAGGGCGGGTAGACGTTGATTATAATGACTCAGGGAAGCAAGAAATACAAAGACAGTGGGGTGTTCAATAATAACGAATGAGACAATGAAGTAAACAGACAAACAGACAGACAGATAGATAGATAGATAGATAGATAGATAGATAGATATGAACAAACTGAGATAGATAGATAGATAGATAGATAGATAGATATGAACAGTGGGATAGATAGATATGTACAAGGTGAGAAAGAAAGAAAGAAAGAAAGAAAGAAAGAAAGAAAGAAAAAGAAAGAAAATAACAGACTGTGATAGATAGATAGATAGATAGATAGATAGATAGATAGATAGATATGAATAGACTGGGATAGAAATAGATAGATAGATAGATAGATAGATAGATAGATAACAAACTGAGATAGATAGATAGATAGATAGATAGATAGATAGATAGATATGAACAAACTGAGATAGATAGATAGATAGATAGATAGATAGATAGATAGATATGAACAAACTGAGATAGATAGATAGATAGATAGATAGATAGATAGATAGATAGATAGATAGATAGATATGAACAGTGGGATAGATAGATATGTACAAGGTGAGATAGATAGAAAGAAAGAAAGAAAGAAAATAACAGACTGTGATAGATAGATAGATAGATAGATAGATAGATAGATAGATAGATAGATAGGGACGTGCTGAGATAGATAGATGGGATAGATAGATATGTACAAGGTGAGAAAGAAAGAAAGAAAGAAAGAAAGAAAGAAAGAAAGAAAGAAAATAACAGACTGTGATAGATAGATAGATAGATAGATAGATAGATAGATAGATAGATAGATATGAACAGACAGGGATAGATAGATATGAAGAAGCTGAGATAGATAGATAGATAGATAGATAGATAGATAGATAGATAGATATGAATAGACTGGGATAGAAATAGATATATATATAGATAGATAGATAAGAACAAACGAAGATAGATAGTAATTTCTAAGGAATGAATGGATTTTATTTTTAATCCGACATTACTAATTATTACTCTAAACGTTATATTCCTGGCTACTCGTCATTGAATATACGCCCTGTTTTTTTGTATTGTTTTTTTTTTTTGTTGTTGTTGTTGTTTTCTTGTTTTATTCTTGTCTCTTTATAAAAAAATCCGTTGAATTAAGTTTAACGACTGATGCATTCAAATGACATAATAAAGAAAATGCATTCTTCACAAAACTACTCAAGATAGTAGTTTCCCGTACAAAGAGGAAAACAGTTCGGAAATACATTCTCTCAAAAACATGTACTTCACACTATTAAAAACTTACGGCCTCTATACAAGCATGGCAATAAAATATCTTTTAAAATACCCGATAGAATCTCAGTTGAATTTGTTTAGCGGCATATCAACATCTCTGTTTGTTATTTAATGCTAAAATGTAAATTGGAACAATTACATGGCTTCAACTACATATAATTTTAATGCAATTTTATGCCTTCAACTACAGATTAAATGTATTGCTGGTCCTGCAGTTTTTAAATATACTGTTGCTAATTTTACTATAAACAGGTATTATTGTTATTGTTTTTTTGTTTTTTTACATAAAAATGTATTGCTGATAATTTTATTATAAAAATATATTCTTATACCTTCATAGTGTTATGCTTGGGGTTTCACTAATGACCCACAGCTGGGACCCTGACAGACGTTAACACGCCGCTTTACGGTGGATAGATAGATAGATAGATAGATAGATAGATAGATAGATAGATAGATATACAAAGAACAGACTATCATATACATATGTGTGTGTGTGTGTGTGTGTGTGTTAGGAAATGTGATATTGGGAAAAAACTGGCCCTAGATTAATATTTGGATAATATTCAATGGCAGAACTCTCGAGGATTTTCCTCCTGTGTGAATTATTTTTTTATAAGTGTAGCATTTATAAAATCAAACTTGTAGATGAATTTATTTCTATGTATGACTAGTGCCTTCTTTAAATTGTTATATAAGAGGTCTCTTTTGTGCTCATAGTTGCCTCTTTTTTTTATAAATGTCTACTTGTTTCTCCAATGTATTGTGGGGAAGAGTTTTGGCAACTTATTTTATATATGCCTGCTTCAGAAGTATTATTGCTATGGCTGTTTAAGGATCTGATTATATTCATAACGGTTTTATAAATGCTACACTCATAAAAAAGAAAATAAATCACTCAGAATCCTCGAAATTGCTGCCATTGAATAGTATCTAAATATTAATCTTCAAGTTTTTCCTTTTATATATATATATATATATATAGAGAGAGAGAGAGAGAGAGAGAGATAGATAGGAATTATACATCCTGACGTCATCATGCAAGTCATTGTCCGATTATGAATAAACATATTTGCAATAATTTCATGAAGTGAGAATTTAATATACAATTGTTGATCGTATTATATGTAAATATATACCTTAGTAATTTGTAAGGAATTAAATAATTTTATTTTTAATCCAGCATAATTTCTTATTACTTAAACATTATATCTCATTGGATAAACGTATTTGAGTAGACGCCCTGTTTTTTAAACAGTGTGAAATAAGCCGACTATCCCTAGTATTCGAGGGTTTTTATAAAGAAAATGTACTCTTCGGTACAGTTCTTCATCTGTGTCCCCCTTTATAAGGAAAAACACTACCTGAACTGGCGCGCTTTTGACAGTTCGATCACAGAGAGTTTCACAGTTCAACAAGATGCAATTACTCCATTTAAGGAATGCACATCATCTAGAAATCCCAAACCTGATAACTTCATTTTTGTATCTGGAATTAGCTGATTTTATTTTTTCATTTGACATTATTTCTTAATACTTAGACATTATATTTAAGATGATACCCGTGTTTGAGTAGACGCCCTATTTTTATTTTACATCTTCCGGCATTTTTACATCTTCTGTGCATTCAAGAGTTTTAAATGAGGCCACCTAGTTTTATTATATATATATATATATATATATATATATATATATATATATATATATATATATAAATAGATAGATAGATAGATAGATAGATAGATAGATAGATAGATAGATATATGTAGTCGTAAATTAATCTATGCTAGCAGTTTCGTCTCTCTTACTTCTCGCTTGTGGAATTCAATTCAGGCTCCATGCTTTGCAGCCAACGTTAATCTGCAAAACTTTAAATGCAATGTCAATCGCTATCTGCTGTCCTCCTGATTTTTTCTTTCTGTTCATTATTAATGTGTCTGTTCCTAACTCTAACTGAAATGCAACAAGGGATAAACCTCTTCTCCTGTTCAAAAGTCTGTGGAGGGGTGTGAATCAGACGAGAGGCGAGCCTATAATAGATATATTAAACAGAATAATACAGTTGTTGTTCACCACCCGATGCTACTTTAACTTCATCTAACTAGCATCGAGCGACGAGAAACATCTGTATAATACATATATATATATATATATATATAATTATTTATTTAAAAATATGATTCCATCGCTACATAAGAGTTCTCATGTTTCAAAACAAGAGCCGAAAACTTCAATATAATTATTTTAATTAAATTGAATTAAAGTACCAAGCTCTGTTCCATCCTCAAGCGAAATTTTTTTAACCTATTTTCTATATATTTTTACACATACACATATATATATATCTGTCCGTATGTGTGTGTGTGCATACATTTTGCAACACACACACACACACACATATATATATATATATATATATATATATATATATATATATATATATATCATGGTAATTGTTTGAATGAGCTCTTCGTTGTTATCTAGAGTTCTGGAATTTAAGGGCAGTACCAGACTAGCGTCAAGATCTCATCAATTTTCAATTGAGCTGGCTAGGTGTAGCCGTAAATTCTATGCTAGAAGTTTCTTCTTTCGTACTTCTTGCTTGTGGAACTCCATTCAGGCTCCATGCTCTGCAGTCAACTTTAATCTGCAAAACTTTTCATGCAATGTCAATCACTATCTACTGTCCTCCTGATTACCCTCTTCTCTTTCTGCTCCTCATTAATGTTTCTGTTCCTAACTCTTCCACACCCAATAACCCCTTGAGTTTTAGTAGCATTACTACCTTGCTTGGGGTGATTCAATTTAAAAAACAAGCAACGTAGAAAATGTAAAAGAAAGAAGATATTTCAATTTATTGAATGATGAGGACCTAATGTTAAAAATTGTCAAAAATTTGAAAAGGGAGAAAGAAATCAAGAAAGAAATTGAAGTCATTAGCAAGCGAAGGACAAAACAAGTGGCTGCAACAATGTTGCGAAAAGACATTAAACAAAATTCAAAAGAATAATAATATCTTAAAATTCCGGTCGTCCGAACGTCAACAGCGAAAAAAAAAAAAGCTGAAAAACTTGATCTTGGTGTAGAAAAGCAAACAAAACTATCACCTGTAAGTAAACATCACAAAAAGAAGCCTCGGTTACGGGAAGTAGTACATGAAAACTGATTTCTTCGCAGATTTTAGTGCATTTCTACGAAAATGAAGGCGACAGATTAGCCTGGAATTTGAACTCGGCTCGTCGATTAAACGTTGCTCGTCTATATCACTACTGGCACACCCAGTAAAATTATAGGCGAGGGACTCAAAATAAATACAAAGTAATATATTGTATATTCTTTGCTAAAAGGTTTTTTGAAAAGTACATATCACAACCAAGGTGCTAAACAGTATATTCATGAAAGACAAGGTCCCTTCCTATTCCGCGAAGCCGATTACTAAACAATTTTGCGAAAATATTCCAAAGTTACCAAATTAACGGAACGACTCCCATCTGTGTTATTCAATTTAATGTTAGTGTTGTGACAATAGGAATATTATAATGAGTAACTGGAAGACCGACGAAAGCTATGGAATCTCAACATCCCGTATTAACATGCAAAATAATCATATAATAAATGGGTTTGTCTCTCCCTTCCTTAGTTCGCAAGACCATTACGCCTTGCCAAAAACCTCATAAGTAATGGACTATTCTGTATTGATCATGTGGAAAGAAAAAAGATATATCAGAAACGCTACTTGGTTTCAGTGAAATAAGCAAAGATAAAAGTGTTTAGCGTCTCCTGCTAACACTTCATAAATAATAAGAAAAAATCATGTTGAGGGTAGCGATGGCATGCTTTCTCCAGCACAGGTCAGAGCAAATAAGAAGAAGAAGAAGAAGAAGAAGAAGAAGAAGAAGAAGAAGAAGAAGAAGAAGAAGAAGAACAGCAACAACAAGAGCAACAACGACAAAAACAATGGCAGCAACAACAACAACACTCCTACGAAGAAGTCAGTTGGTGCCCTAGGTTTTCCTAGGCGTTCGTTTTATTGAACAATAATCGATGAAGAAGAAGAAAAAGAAGAAGAAAAGAAGAAGAAAAAAAGAAATGAAAGAAGAAAAGAAGAAGAAAAGAAGACGAAAAGAAGAAGAAAAAGAAGAAGAAAAGAAAAGAAGAAAAAAAAAAAAGAAGAAGAAAAGAAGAAAAAAGAAAAGAGAAGAAGAAGAAAAGAAGAAGAAAAAAGAAGAAAAGAAGAAAAGAAGAAAAAGAAGAAGAAAGAAGAAGAAAAAAGAAGAGAAGAAAAGAAGAAGAAAAAAGAAGAGAAGAAAAAAGAAAAAAGGAAGAAAAGAAAAGAAGAAAAAAAAAGAAGAAAAAGAATAAGAAAAAGAAGAAAAGAAGAAGAAAAGGGAGAAAAGAAGAAGAAAAGAAAAAAGAAGAAGAAAAAGAAGAAGAAAAAGAAGAGAAGAAAAAGACGAAGAAGAGAAGAAGAAAAACAACAACAACAAAAGGAAGAAAAAGGAGAAGAAGAAGAATACGACGAAGAAAAACAAGAAGTACAACAACAACATTAATAGCAACAGCAACAACAAAAACAACAGCAACAATAACAATAACACTCATACGAAGAAGTCAGTTGGTACGCTAGGCTTTCCTAGGCGTTCATTTTATTCAACCATAACCGTTGTAGATTGAACCGGGCAGTAGAATTCAGAAGTATTACTACGCATGTTGGACGTGTCGCGTCGTTGATATTTCGATGTTGGTAACAATGATCAAATAAATATTACTCTAGCCATAGACCAGGTTCTGGACGGTCAGATTGTACAGATACACACACCAATCATGTTGAGGGTAGCAATGGCATGGTTTCTCCAGCACAGGTCAGAGTAAATATTTCCTGAAGTGTGTCCATACGTATTGTTGATATACGGGGTTATTCCCAAAATACTGATATTTGCTTCGATTTCGGCATGTGGAACGGGCCTAGACCTTTCCAGTAACCCTTCATACTATATCACCAATAAATAACTTTTTGTTATATATATATATATGTTTTCTTCCACACCATTTATCGGCTTCGATCATTTAACTCTACACCTTGTCTTTCTTCTTCTTCTTCTTCTTCTTCTTCTTAAACTCTTTCAGACTTTCTTTTCCTTCTTTTTTCTCACACTCTTTAAACTCTTCTTCCTTCTTCTCCTCCTCCTCTTCTTTAAATATAACCGTAGTTGAGACGCAAAATTACCCTCTTTCTTTTTTCACTCCCCCTCTTTATTCTACTTCCACCTCTCCTCTCTCTCCTTACTTCTCCTATATATTTTATCACCTTCAACCTAATATTATATCCACTTTCTCTTCTACTCTTCCTAAAAAATAATCTTGTTAACAATTTCGTATTCCACCTTTCTTCTACCCTTTCTTTCTTTTGTCAGTGGTCCTTTCTTCCTCTTTTTCCTTTTTGAGGACAGCAGCTCATTTTTCAAACATCGCCCCCCCCAGTAAAGTATATTATAATTTCCTATTGAACATACGCGACTTATACACGAGTTTCAACCTTTCTTATTGCAAATTGCAGTTGTTATTCTTTCTCTGTAAACGCCTTTTCTTTTCTTTTCTTTTCTTTGAGGCAAGACATTTTGTTGATTTCTGCTATGGTGTCGACGATCAAAGTTTTAGTAGCTGATTCGATATGGAATAGGTGAGCGAAATTGCATACAAATAAAGGTACAGAAACATATATGCATAGAGACATAAATACGTATATGCATAGATATATCTATATATTTTAACTTCCTGGTGATTGTGTTATCGCATGAAACCCTCAGTAGAGGTCTTTCATATTATTGTATTAATAATATTATTACAATATACTATATATATATATAGATAGAGAGAGAGAGAGAAAGAGAGAGAGAAATACATAGATAGCTGAAGAGACTTAGATAGATAGATAGATAGATAGATAGATAGATGAAGAGACTGAGATAGATAGATAGATAGATAGATAGATAGATAGATAAACAGACTTAGATAGATAGATAGATAGATAGATAGATAGACAGATAGACAGATAACATGTGATTTGATGTCGCTGCAATTATCTACTTGATCACATATTTCCTCCACTTATGCAATATATAGAAAATTACTAGGAGTACATATGAGCAAGCATGTCTTTATTACCGACATTATCTATCTATCTATCTATCTATCTATCTAAATATATATATATATATATATATATATATATATATATATATATATATATATACTTGTGGGTGTTAGAATATAATATGTCGGAGAGTCTTTATGCATGCATTTGTTAATATATTTTGTTGTTATACGTATATACGTGTTCTTGATCCTATATATATATATATATATATATATATATATATATGTGTGTGTGTGTGTGTGTGTGTGTGTGTGTGTGTGTGTGTGTGTGTGTGTGTGTGTGTGTTGGGGTGCAGGCCAGTTCATGGAGAAGAGAGTTCCGACGTAATGGTACATAAAAGATAATATTTGCTTTGATAGGGGGCGAAATCAAAAGAAATCTAGATTGGAAGGGAAAATTGATGATCTTAGAGGAAGAGGCAGATATTGAAAGGGATTGGCGAAGGAAAGAAGAAAAAGAAGAAGAAGATCAACAACAACGGTAACAACAACAACAACAACAAACGGTTCAATAGAAAATGAATGAGAATACGAAGAAAAGATAAAAAGAATGAGTGAAGAATGAAGAAAGAAGAAGAAGGAAAATGAAGAAGAAGAAGAAGAAGAAGAGCGTAAGGGGAAAAGGAATGAGAACGGGAGGAGGAGAGAAAAAGAATGAATAGAAAATGAATAAGAAAATGAAAAAGAGGAGGAGGGAAAGAAGAAAAGGATGAGGTGAAAGAAGAAGAAGAAGAAGAAGAAGAAGAAGAGCGTAAGGGGAAAAGGAATGAGAACGGGAAGAAGAGAGAAAAAGAATGAATGGAAAATGAATAAGAAAATGAAAAAAAGGAGGAGGGAAAGAAGAAAAGGATGAGGTGAAAGAAGAAGAAGAAGAAGAAGAAGAAGAAGAAGAAGAAATGATTTATGGAATAAGAAAAAGCGAAGAAAAATTCGGTAATCACAACGATAAAGATGAATGAATATACAGCGTAAAAATAGGAGACGCTCCAGGAGGTAATGGTTAACAAGCAAATCTTTCGGTTCGTTCCAGCTCATCAGTTAGTTTAATTTCTACTGTCTGCCTTTACTTGTCTTGTATTCGACTTGGTTGAGATTAGTGAATACTTATAACGAATAATATAAAAGAAGAAAACAATAGTGTCGCCGTAAGGTAGTGGTTAACAAGTCGGTCTTACATTCATTACGACTAAGTAGTAAATTTGGTACTCACTAGCTGCCGACACTTGTGGCTTGTTGCCTGGTGAAGTTAAGCGCAGGAAAAACAAATTGCATCGAATAACGTACAGAAAAACAAACGCGTGCACGGCCCCGAGGTAATAATTAAAAAAATGGTCTTGCGCATCCTTACTAATAAGTAAAGATGCCGATCTTCATTGGGTACCTTTTATACGTGGCCTTATGCCAAATTCTGTTAAGCTTTATAAATAACTAGAAGCCAGTCTTGTGGCTGAAATAGTTACTATTAGACATCATTTAAAAATATTATTTCGAACACAGTTAATAACCACACGTAAATGTTTTCAGCAATTACGAGTTTCGTATAAACCAAACTCCATGGCGAAATTTAGGCTAACCACATATATTCGCTTTTGTAATCAGTAAAATTTGTCGGTAATTTGATCAGTTCCGCGTTTGAGCCAGGATCCGTCGCCCGGGATGCAGAGATGAAAAATATAGTTAAATATTCTTCTCTTGCTGATAGATTTGTTTTTTTTTACTCCTGTGGCAGTGGAGACTTCTGGGGTTATTGGCCTTCATTCGATGGCGTTCCTTCGGAGGATTGGCGCGATTGCGTCTCGATTAAGGGCCTCACGAAACGGAGTGGCTCTTGCATTGCAGCGTGTCTCACTGGCGATGGTTCGAGGCAATGCTTTCTCCATTATTGCGGCTGGCAGAGGATAGAAAAAAAATGTTTATAGTTACGTTGTCCTGGAATTGTCATCAGTGCTCAACTGAACTTGTTTTGCATCAGTAAAATTGATATAAAAAGAAATATGCTTTCTTTACGATATATTTCAGGAAGGCTGAAAAATGTATCGGCCGAAACGCTGTGATAAGAAAAAGAACACAAAGAAAAAAGGTAGTATCTTTAGTATTTTACTTCTTTCATTTTCTTTTCTTTTCACTTTTTACTAAACTTAGCGCCTTTCAGATATTAATGCTCTCGTTAATTTTGATAAGAGATTTCTCCCAAATCAGACATCATGAATATTTCACACGGTTCCATTTTTGTTTTCTGCCTTTCTTTCTAGTCTTAATTTTGTAAAGAAAGAAAGAAAAATATAAAAATTTAAATATCTGGTAAGTCTTCTGACTGAGGACGGAAAGTGTGATACTAAAACCTGAAAACGTATTGGGGTGGCCAAAGGTGCAATTCCTGTTTTATAGGAATAAAGTGTCACTGCCGACACTTGAGCTTGAACATAGATCGTCAGTGAGCAAACACAGGCGATCTCAATTTTGAATTAAGTAGACTACGCGACCATAGAGGAAACACATAAGTAGGAGGTTGCGTGATGTCTAATGAATCGCTATTTCTAGTCTATCCTCTATACTATACAGATCTCCATTTCTACTCTATCCTCTATTACTATACGGACCGCTATTCTCTACTCTATTCACTATACTATTTCTCTATTTGGATCACTATACGGGTTACTATTCGAGCGAGTATTATCGAGCAAGTACTATTAGTACGAGTGTTATTCGAAGGCGTCTGACACCAGTATTATTCAGCGGCGTACTATAGTTGTAGCTGCGATTACAAAGTCTCTACTACAACGAGCATTACGAAAGTGACAACGCGTATTCTTTGGCATTACAAAAGTGGCATTGATATCACAAAAGCTAAGCAGAGTATTAAAATACAGAAAAATCTAGTTCGAAACATAGAAAAGAGAGTTGAACTATTATACGTGATATCTACCCTCTTAGGAGACAGTGAATCGTGAGCAAACTTCCCAAAAGATGAAGAAAAGACTTGAAGCAACAGAAATGTGGTTCCACAGGAAGATGCTGAGGATACCGTGGACCGAACATGTGAGCAACGACGGGATTTTAGAGAAAATGGAAGCAAATTTTATATTTTGTATCAGGAAGAGACAGTTGAAATTTCTTTGGCGCATGATGAGGAAGGAGGGCTTGGAAAATATGATACTCACAGGGGAGATCGAGGGAAAAGGGGTCTAAGGGAAATAGCGCATGATATACTTGATGAGCTTGAGTAAATGGATGGCGGAAAAGGGTTTAGGAGAAATAACAGAAAGATACATTTTATTAAGAGCTACAAAGGACTGAAAATTGTGAAGAGCCATGATCACCTAGCTCCGGGAGGGCGGGGGTACTGTGCATAAAGAAGAAACAGATTTAAGGAAAGTTCAAAAAACGGAGAAAAACGCAAGAAAAAATAGTAGAAAAAGGGAAAGGGTAAAAAGAAGAGGGTGTAGAAAGAAAGAAAAGAAAGAAAGAAGAGATAAATTGAAGAAAAAGAAATCAAGATAAAAAAAAGACGACGACGTAGAAAAATAACAGAAAAAGGGAAAAGGTAAAAAGAAGAGAAGGTAGAAAGAAAGAAAAGAAAGAAAGAAGAGATGAATTGAAGGAAAAGAAATCAAGATAAAAAAGAAGACGACGTAGAAAAATAACAGAAAAAGTGAAAGGGTAAAAAGAAGAGGGGGAAGAAAGAAAAAAAAAGAAAGAAAGAAGAGATAAATTGAAGGAAAAGAAATCAAGATAAAAAAGAAGACGACGAAAAAAAACAGAAAAAGGGAAAGGGTAAAAAAGAAGAGGGGTAGAAAGAAAAAAAAGAAAGAAAGAAGAGATAAATTGAAGGAAAAGAAATCACGATAAAAAAAGAAGACGACATAGAAAAATAACAGAGAAAGGGAAAGGGTAAAAAGAAGAGGGGGTAGAAAGAAAGAAAAGAAAGAAAGAAGAGATAAATTGAAGGAAAAGAAATCAAGATAAAAAAGAAGACGACGTAGAAAAATAACAGAAAAAGGGAAAGGGTAAAGAGTAGAGGGGGTAGAAAGAAAGAAAAGAAAGAAAGAAGAGATAAATTGAAGGAAAAGAAATCAAGATAAAAAAAAGAAGACGACGTAGAAAAAATAACAGAAAAAGGAAAGGGTAAAAAGAAGAGGGGAAAGAAAGAAAGAAAGAAAGAAAGAAGAGATAAAATTGAAGGAAAAGAAATCAAGATAAAAAAAGAAGACGACGTAGAAAAATAACAGAAAATGGGGAAAGGGTAAAAAGAAGAGGGGGTAGAAAGAAAGAAAAGAAAGAAAGAAGAGATAAATTGAAGGAAAAGAAATCAAGATAAAAAAAAGAAGACGGCGTAGAAAAATAACAGAAAATGGGGAAAAGGGTAAAAAGAAGAGGGGTAAAAAAAAGAAAAGAAAGAAAGAAGAGATAAAATTGAAGGAAAAGAAATCAAGATAAAAAAAGAAGACGGCGTAGAAAAATAACAGAAAATGGGGAAAGGTTAAAAAGAAGAGGGGGTAGAAAGAAAAAAAAGAAAGAAAGAAGAGATAAATTGAAGGAAAAGAAATCAAGGTAAAAAAAGAAGACGACGTAGAAAAATAACAGAAAAAGGGAAAGGGTAAAAAGAAGAGGGGGTAGAAAGAAAGAAAAGAAAAAAAGAAGAGATAAATTGAAGGAAAAGAAATCAAGATAAAAAAAGAAGATGACGTAGAAAAATAACAGAAAAAGGGAAAGGGTAAAAAGAAGAGGGGGTAGAAAGAAAGAAAAGAAAGAAAGAAGAGATAAAATTGAAGGAAAAGAAATCAAGATAAAAAAGAAGACGACGTAGAAAAATAACAGAAAAAGGGAAAAGGGTAAAAAGAAGAGGGGGAAAGAAAGAAAAGAAAAAAAAAGAAGAAATAAATTGAAGGAAAAGAAATCAAGATAAAAAAAAAAGATGACGAAAAAAAATAACAGAAAAGGGAAAGTGTAAAAAGAAGAAGGGGGTAGAAAAAAGAAAAGAAAGAAAGAAGAGATAAAATTGAAGGAAAAGAAATCAAGATAAAAAAAGAAGACGGCGTAGAAAAATAACAGAAAAAGGGAAAGGGTAAAAAGAAGAGGGGGTAGAAAGAAAGAAAAGAAAGAAAGAAAGAGATAAATTGAAGGAAAAAAGAAAGATAAGATAAAAAAAGAAGACGACGTAGAAAAATAACAGAAAAAGGGAAAGGGTAAAAAGAAGAGGGGGTAGAAAGAAAGAAAAGAAAGAAAGAAGAGATAAAATTGAAGGAAAAGAAATCAAGATAAAAAAAGAAGACGACGTAGAAAAATAACAGAAAAAGGGAAAGGGTAAAAAGAAGAGGGGGTAGAAAGAAAGAAAGAAAAGAAAGAAGAGATAAATTGAAGGAAAAGAAATCAAGATAAAAAAGACGACGACGTAGAAAAATAACATAAAAAGGGAAAGGGTAAAAAGGGTACCCAGCTATTTGTCATGCACAGAGTGCTGTTGTCATATATAGTCTTGTGTTCCCGCAGTTCTTCGACAAAATCCAAAGACTGATATGCAATGTGATCGGTCTTGACTTGGCAGCTCGAATGCAGTTACTTTCTCACTGATGAAATTGGCTTCCCTTTGTCTTTTCTATAACTATTTCGATGGCATCTGTTCTGTTGCGCTATTTCCCGGTCTCCATGAATTTAAGCGTTCTACTTGGTGGGCATGTAGGACCCACCGTCGAAATATTTAAATGTCACCACCTCTTCTACTCAAACATCTTCTTCTCTCGCTCTTCCTGATAATGAAACTCCCTCCCTCTTACTTGCTTCCCTGATAAATATAATCTTCAAAAATTTAAATGTAATGTCAACCGGCCTCTTCTGATATTTTTATACCCGTTTTTCTTTTTATCTTTTCCTCTATCTCCCCACCCTCTACTCTAGAATTTTTTCATATTTTCACTCTCTCTAACCGCTTGCGTATTAGTGGCATTCCCACCTTGCTTGGGGTGAAATGCTTAAAAAAGAATGAAAATATAAGTTACAGCAAGTGAAATATTAGAAGGAAGGTTGAAAGAGAAAAAAGAAAGAAAAAGAAGAAATAAAATTATACATGAGAATAAAATATTAGAAAATAATTGAATCTATCATAAACATGAAAGCCGCTGAACACCTCAAGAAAAACAAACATCTGAGCGACAAACAATATAGTTTTCGCTCTTCTAGTTCCACTGCTGATGTTTTAATTATAATCACGCATAATATCAGTGAAACGCTTGATAATAAAAAAATATGCCGAGAGTGATCGCTCTATATATCTCGAAGTCTTTTGATAATAGGTGGCACAAACTGATTAGCTATGAACTCCCTGGGAGCATCCGCTCAATTATCGAGTCTTTCCTGTCACGTCGTTGTTAATAGCCAGTTCTTCCAAGCACATGACATCAATGCTGACGTCCCAAAGGCTATCATCTCGAACCTACCCTTCCGCTTTATATCAACGATCTGTTCAAGATCACTTTCAAATCCTTAGTAGATATATACAAGGGGGGACCCCAAAGTAACCTGAATTGTGTCATATAATTTTATTCATTTATTGTTGCATGTTTATATTCTTATCACCTTCAAAGTATTCTCCATTTGAAGCAATGCACTGGTCCAGACGTGTTTTCCACTGTTCAAAGCAATCCTGGAACTCTTGTGAAGTTATGTTTTTTTAATGACTCCGTCGTTTTCTTCTTAACCTCTTCCGCATCTGCAAAACGTTTTCCTTTGAGGACTTTTTTCATTCGTGGGGAACAAAAAAAGTCTCTGGGGGCGAGATAGGGTGAATAGGGAAGGGTGGGGAAGTGTGGGTCATGTCATTCTGGGTCAGAAACTGTCTCACACTCAAGGCGGTGTGCGCTGGCGCATTGTCGTGATGCAACCACCACCCTCCACTTTGCCACAGGTCAGGGCGTTTTCGTCTCATCTTGTCTCGCAAACGCTTCAGGACTTCCAAGTGAAAAGCCTGTTTAACAGTTTGACCCGGAGGAACAAATTCTTTGTGGAAAATTCCTTTAACATCAAAGAATCAAATCAGTATTGTCTTGACATTGAACTTGACGCACTTTTTTGGGTCGTGGTGACGTTGGATGCTTCCACTGACTTGATTGGGGCTTCGTTTCCGGGTCGTAACCATAGCACCAGCTTTCGTCACCAATGATGACCTTCGAAAAAAGGTCTAGATCAACTTCCAACTGTTCTTTCAGTTTACGACAAGCATCCTTTCAGACATGGTAAAAATAAACGAAAAGGTTTGAAGCACTTCAAAACAAATGTGAACCAAGGAGCTGTACGTCTTCCCACGATGACACCAGTTAGCACACCGATGCCTGAGTGTTGTCTCAAGTGACATCTAGCGGTGGAAGCCTGAACTACTATGGACTTGTCACAGAGAAAACGATTCCCGTTACTTTTGGGTCTCGCCTCCTATATACAAAGGATACAATATATTGATGACCAGTGCCTAGTAGCTGATATAATTTTCACAGCTCAATGGGGAAAAGTCTGTTTGATGTCATTCAATACATCCAAAATTAATTTCGTAACATTTCATTACCACCGAGCAGTCCTTAAACCTACAGCAATCCTGACGAGTGGTCATACCCTTAAAGTGGTTTCTTGCCTTGAACGCCTACTCTCATTCCCAACGTCAAATGGAACGTGTATATTCATGCCATTTTAAAAGATAGTAGTTTCATTTTAACGCTCCAAACACACCTAAATCTCGCTGCCATGATCTATCTTTATAATAGTCAGATCAAGCAAAAAAAAAAAATGGAGTATCGGTGCCATATCTGGGCTAGTGCTGAGCAGTCCCCACTGTTCAGTCTCGACTGAGTTTTAAAAGCGCTTACGCGGTTTTCTTCCCCTATCCTGCAACCCTTATGCCATAGACGAAACGTCGGCAGACCTTTCAATACTATGACGCTCTTATTATGGCAGATGTTAGGATGAGTGCCACCAGCTCGAACCTCCACATCTAGATACCCCCCCCCGATTATGCTGTGTTCACGGTGGCAACCCCATCACGTTCCCTTCGGGTTCCCTTGATTCAAAGCAAGTTCCATCCAAGCAACTTCCCAGGACTGTTACTTTGAGGAATAAACTCCCGTCAGAATATTAAAATATTGTCTCTTTAAGGCCGCAGTCAATAGATTTGTATCCAACTAGTCTTCATTATATTTTTATTACCCTCTTTCTCCTACGTTATAATCTTATTGACTAACCATCTACTTTGGGTGAAAAAAGAAGGGAAAGAAGAGACAGAAGAGAAAGAAGAGAGAGTAGGTGAAAGAAGAGAAAGAAGAAGAGACAGAAGAGAAAGAAGAGAGAGAAAGGGGGGAAGAAGAAGAAGAAGAAGAGAATGAAGAGAAGAAGAGAAAGAAGAAGAAGAGAAAGGAAAAGAGAAAGGAAAAGAGAAAGGAGAAAAACGACGAGAAATAAGAAAAAGAAGAAAAGAAAGAAGAGAAAGAAGAGAAAGTAGAGACAGAAGAAAAGAAGATAAAGAGAAAAAAAGAGGAGAAAAATAGAAAGAAGAGAAATGAGAAAAAAGACGAGAAAAAAGAGAAAGAAGAAGAAAAAGAAGAAAGCAGAAGACAATGAAGAGAGAGAAGAGAAAGAAGAAAAAAGAGAAGAAAGAAGAGAAAGAAGAGAAAGAAAAGAAGAGAAAGGAAAGGAGAAAGAAAAGAAAGAAGAAGAGAAAGTAGAGAAAGAAGAGAAAAAAGTTAGGTAAAGAAGAGAATGAAGATAAAGAAGAAGAGAAAAAAGAGAAAAAAAGAAGAGAAACAAGAAGAGACAACAAAAACAACAAAAAAGTAAACGAATACAGGGACACGAAACAGAAAAAAGAAAAGAAAAACTTGAATTAAATATGGCGTTGATGAATATTTAAAGACACATATCCATTCGAAACTTCTCTTTGCTACACTTTTCTGTAACCACAGATGATACGAATATATAATTCACTCATTTCTAATACAGAAAAATATTTTCTTATTTTATCTCGTACCAAAGAACTTTTAAATATTCTTTTGCCGAAAATTCTCATGTATTTTTAGACTTTTCTCTCTTTCCCCACTTGTCACTTCATAACATAAGAATAAGACAGTTTTTTTATTCAGATAGAAATAATATTCAGACTTTATTCAGAAAGACGAAATCTTGTAATAATAATAATAATAATAATAATAGTAATGAAAATAATAGCAATAATAATAATAATAACAAAAATAATAATAATAATAATAATAATAATAAAAATGATAATAAAAATAAAAATAATAATAATATTAATAAAAAATATAATAATAATAATAATAATAATAATAAAAGATAAGAAAAAATAAAAATAATAATAATATTAATAAAAATAATAATAATAATAATAAAATAATAATAATAATAAAAAATAATAAAAATAATAATAAAAAATAAGAAGAAGAAGAAGAAAAATAATAAGAAGAAAAAATAAGAAAAATAAAAAAATAATAATAATATTAATAATAATAATAATAATATTAATAAAAATAATAATAATAATAATAAAATAATAATAAGAAAAATAAGAAAAAATAAAAATAATAATAATAATAATAATAATAATAATTCTCATAGATATGACAATGTCAACAGATAAAAATATATTTGTAAACGTATGAATAAATTCTAAGAACGTTGAAATTAAAATCAAAACCTCATACGGCCTTTAAGCTGTTGGGCCCTGGGTTCAATTATAAAAAGTACAGAGAAGAACATTGACTAAATACATGGAAGCTTGTGTTTATATATATATATATATATATATATATATATATATATATATATATATATATTAAAAAAAATACAACTTCATGGAATTGTTCATCTACTTATTTCAATGTAAACAAAATATAAACATTGTGTATGTTAAGTATCATTTAATGTCAGGATTTATGGAGGATTTTGGTTTCTGATAAGGTAATTTAATTTATTGCCTCTCTTTTCCACAGAGGTCCCAATGCATTTTTACTTACGCACAGATTTGTCTTTCATTCTGATCTGAAGGAGACGAAATCAACATTCGGCAAGACGCGTCGTTTATAGATTTATCAATTTGTCTCATCTTTTTTGTTTCGGATACTAATAATATAAATCCTCTAAACACACATCACAATTTGTGCAAAGAGAAGGCATATTTTTGCCACTTTGCCTTACACCGGGTCTCAATAAATGACCAGTTAAGGAATTGTACAAAACAAGAAGCAAAAGAAGATACTACTACTACTACTACTAATAATAATAATAATAATAATAATAATACCCATACCAAACAAGCTGATTTGAAAAAACCCGTACCCATTAGTGGCTACTTAGTGCAGGGTTAAAAGCTGAAAACGAAGATTTTATCCTTGCTGCACAGAAAAAAGAAAATAATAGAAATTACCAAGTACATATGCTAAAATATTATGTTAGCCCAAAATGCAGAGTCTGTTATAAATAGCCCGAAACAATTAATTATCTTGTATCAGGTTACACGTTATTGGGACCCACTAAATATAAAACACGGCACGACAGAGAGTGGGCCAATATCTGTACTGGAAAATCTGCAACTTCTAAAGAAGTAAACTGAAAGAAATTGGTATGAACACCACCCAGACCCGGTTACGGAGATAAGATCCGTTACAAATTTATGGGACTACTCAATAAACACAGACAGAATAATCGAATCTAACCGCCGAGACATCGTTATTAGAGACTGAAAACAAAAAATTGCCTCCTTATTGATATGGGAGTCCCTGCAGACTGAAATGTAACTTTGAAGATATTCAAAAAGCTATCAAAATACAAGGACCTAGAAATAGAAATCTCAAAAATGTGGCACATGGCAACATCAATAATGCCTGTTGTAGTTGGAACCCTAAGATTGATTTGAAAAGATTCCAGTAGACTCATTGAAGGGATTGTTGGAAGCTAATGCTTTAAAAAATTGTTCACACGAGTACAACGCAAGCCTTACGAAGAGCTTTATCTATGTAAAATGTGTGTGTGTGTGTGTGTTTTTTGTTGTTTTTTTTTTAATTGGTCAGTGGACAATGTCATGGTGCCATTTCTAACTTATGTCTGTGTGTGGGATGTACACACCAGAAATCAAATGAAGTAAATAATAATAATAATAATAATAATAATAATAATAATAATAATAATAATAATCACACTGTTTGATATTACAATACCAAATGAGAAAAAAATCTCTAAAAAGGTTTTTGAAAAACTATGCAAATACAAAAACTTGGAGATAGAAATAGAGGAAAAATGTCGTACTTCAAAAATTAAAAATGTTTTTCTTATGGTTAGAGTTTTGGGTTTGATAAACAAAGGAATTTAACAAGAAATCAACAAAATTCCTTGTGCAACAGTAAATCCAAAATATAGTTCTAATAATTTTTTTTATATATCTGTTTTATCATCCTCCATTGAGCTCTACTTTCATTTTCAATATCATAGATTTCATTGCTACATGGGTTATACATTCACTTTCACTTTTATAAATGTTAAAGTTGAATACACTTAAATTCATGTTCAACTTAGATTTTCTTATGAGCTTCTCTCCTTATTGTTACTTCTATTCGTCATCAAAGTTTTCATACTCACCATCTTTCTTTAGTCCATCCATATTTGTAAAATAGAACATAACAGTCACGATTCAGTCAGATGGCACACATTTCGCGTTAAGAATTTACGATTCGACGTTTTTCGCCACGAAAACACGATTCTAATATAACTATGTGCAAATATGGAAAAGCATTCGTATGTATTTTATATGCTTTGAAAAATTCTTGCTTTTCTTAAAAAAAATATGTCTTATTAATTAATATTAAGTTTTTATTATTCCTCAAAATTAGTAATTCTCTTCGATTCTTCAGATAAGGGCCTTTCCAAAAAGTTACCGGCGTTGATATTCTACTCATTTTCAAATACTTTCGGGCAATTTTTTGGTATTTTTTTCTCTCTCATATTTTTAGCTTCCTGGGAATGACGATAAACTACATCCGGCATCAAGGCCTCTGATTGGGGAGTTATGAAGAGTGTGGAATCACCGGTTAATTGCTGACACGGCGTGGTAGCTACTGTTGGGTCCCAGTTATGGGCAAATAGTTAAGCCCTAAGCTAGAGTTAAAACACTATGAAAGTGTAAAAATATTTTTTTAAAGTACAAATAACCTCAATATACTATTGAAACAAATTATTTCCAGCAAAACATATTTCTTAAATTTTTAACAGCAATACATTTTTAAAAAAGAATTATTATCAGCAACACATTTTTGAAAAAAAATTCTTACTAGTAATACATTTTTAAACAAATTTTACCAGCAATACATTTTTTAAAATATTAATACCAGCAATACTTATTTGAAAAGAAATATTACCAAGAATACATTTTTTAAAAATATTATTACCAGCAATACATTTTTTTTAAAAAAAATATAACCAGCAACACATTTTTGTAAAAGACAATTATTACCAGCAATATACATTTTTGGAAATACATTTTTTTTAAATATTATTACCAGCAATAGATTTTTTTTAAATATTATTGCCAGCAATACATTTTTTTAAAATATTATTACCAGGAAAACAATTTTTTTAAAAAAATATTACCAGCAATACATTTTTGTAAAAGAAAATTATTACCAGTAATAGATTTCTGAAAAAAAATTTACCAGTAATACTTTTTTAAAAATATTACCAACAATACGTTTTTTTTTAAATATTATTACCAGCAATACATTTTTTACAAATATTTTTACCAGCAATATATTTTTTAATAATATTACCAGCAATACATTTTTGAAAAAAATATTTCAAGCAATACATTATCAGGAATAATTTTTTTTTTAAATATTATTACCAGTTATACATTTTTTTAAAAAAATATTACCTGCAATACATTTTTGTAAAAGACAATTATTACCAGCAATATATTTCTTTTTAAAAAAATTATACCGGCAATACATTTTTGGAAAAAAAAACAATAATTACCAACAATATAATTTTTAAAATTATGACCATCAATACATTTTTTTAAAATAATATTATTACCATCAATACATTTTTTTTAATTATATCAGCAATGAAATGTTTGTCGACATTAAATAACCCATTCAGATGTCGATATGCCGTAAAATAAAACAAGCCAATCATATTTTTATTTATTTTTCTATATCAGTCGTAGCCTTAGATTAAACAAAAACAGAGCCAGTATACATATTAGGGCACCATGACGTGATGTAATGATTAGGAAGCGTGTCTCGCTCAAACAATTACGACTTAGTAGTAAGTTTGGTCCTCCATGGATTCCCCATACATTCAGGTTTCTACCACATGTAGAATCATTTGAGTGCGCCAAAAAATAGAAAATAATCTGAGTGTGCCAATCCCTCTGCTCGTCAATCCCTCTGCCTTCGGGTGGAGAGGAAAGACGGGACCATACCTACGGTCAGAGTTTCATCTGGGAAGGTAGACAGCCAGCCGACCTCGTGAATGTGGAGTCTATTGGGAATTTTTGCCTGACCGTAAGCGCCCGGAAAGCCCGACGTTAAAAAGTCGTCTTGTGCCACATCCCGATTTGTGGGAAGGACTTGGGTAAATAACGACTGAGTCTACATTTCTAAAGTCAGATGCTGTCAGCAATCACTATTCTTCCTTGTTGTTGGTACGATTTTCAATGACCCTTTCCTATTTTTAAAGGCCATCCATAATAAGAAACCAATGTTTGGTAAGGGTAAATTATTTAAGAGTAGAAAAAGACAAGAGCCCAAACAACTCAAAATGTAGCTTTTTTTGCAAAACGACACGTGCGACTGGGAATACACAAGCGAC